TTTCTACCTGAGTAAATATCTCCCGAAAATAATGGCAAATACTCGTGATTGGAATATCAACTCATTTTTTTTTCTTTTTGCTTGTCAAATATTTTACTTGGTATACCCCCCTCCTTGAACTTTGTGACTAAGCTAATGCAGATTGTCCACGATGATGAGGAATGATGAAGCAAAAATGATATTACATCCTTCTAAGTAATAAGACGTTAGATCTGATCTGCTGATATTGACATTTTATCTAATATTCTGTCATGATTCACTGTTTATATTTTTTGCGGGGGGAGGGGGGGTCCAAGCTGTGGAGATTCACGTAGACCTGTTTGAGATTCACGTGTATTTGGCGGATCCTATGTTTACCACATCTTGACAAAACATCAAACCAGAGTTTACAAAACAAAAAAAAGTTTACAGAGTTTACAAAGCCAGTTCACTTTTATAATCTTTTTACTTAGGATTGATCAACGAATAGTCCTAATATATTACATGTATATCATAAATACAACATTGAAGCAATGTCGTTAATTATTTTCCTCATTACAATATTTATTATGATTGTATACTTTGCAAGCATATAATTTTTATTTCAAAAAGAGGTTGATGATTTTTTTTTTTTTGGGGGGGGGGGGGTAATAAATAGAGGATATTCAATGTTTTGTAGTTGATATGGAATTTATTTCACGGGTGGGACAGGAATTTTTTTTAAATTTTTCATGAGTGAAAATATCAAAAATCCTGTCTCACGATACAATACATATTTCTAGGCATAATTTATGCTTGAAATACACCTTAATTAATGCGTATCATATTGTAAACTTTAGATATTAAACTTTCATTCTATACCCAAAAAGGTCACAAACATGTCAATTATTTTTACTATTGTCAGAGTGAGTCATGTGATTTTCCTACATGCACTACATTTCAACCTGCTAACCTTCAACTTTTTACTGTGGCTTCCGTAGAATAAAGAGCCCCAAAAGTTTTTTTATTTTACTACATTGATAATAACGCAAAAAATACATATTGTACCTGAGATTTCATGACAAATGGGTAAATTAAAATGATTCTTTCTTTAAACAAACAAAAGAAATATATAAATTATTAAGTGATAAGTACAGTATTAGTTCTTGAAATTCATCATATTTATTATTGAGGGGAAGGAGGGATTGATGATAAAAGCAACGTGAATTTAGTTTTTTGTCAGACATTGAATTTTGATCTTGCCCCTTTAAGGCGATGAAATTGAACTAGTATTCCTTGTTCGATCTCTCTTTCGATCAATTTTTATCTCGTTATAACGAGATAATTATCTCGTTATAACGAGATAACTAACTCGTTATAACGAGATAACTAACTCGTTATAACGAGATAACAAACTCGTTACAACGAGATAATTATCTCGTTATAACGAGATAACTAAGTCGTTATAACGAGATAACTTTCTCGTTATAACGAGATAACTAAGTCGTTATAACGAGATAACTTTCTCGTTATAACGAGAAACTAACGCGTTATATCGATATACTAACTCGTTATAACGAGATAATTAACTCGTTATAACGAGATAACTAACTCGTTATAACGAGATAATTATCTCGTTATAACGAGATAACTTACGCGTTATAACGAGATACTAACTCTTTATAACGAGATACTAACTCGTTATTACGAGATAATTATCTCGTTATAACGTGTTAAATTTTTTTTTGTCATGTCTAAAATGAGCTTTCGTAGTATACATGTATGTTGACGTAGAAAGCAGAGAAATATCCATTTATCAAGCCGAGCTTGGAAATCAGCGTATTTGCATATTTTGAGATTTAATTCTCGAATTAATAACGCTTATAACACGGGAAGTTATACTTTTTCTTCACTTTCTTTTGAGCTTAAATCTGCAATATGGTCTCTTAAACTTTTTATTAGGCGTCATACAGTTCTATGCTTGTATCAAAATGTTATCGAAGTAGATTAAGATTCTGATTTTAATTAAATTGATCATCGTCAAATTCATGTCATTTATTTATAATACTCGCTCCGTCCTAATTTTTACCAAAATTACTGTAATTTTTTATTGACAAAATAATATTCATAAGATAAAGCTACTATTTTCTTTAATCTGGAAATAAGGTATACAGCATCTTCTAGACACAATTCTACAAAAGATTTATATGTATGTGTCTTTAAAGTAGCTTCGCATTAATCAAACCAGTTTCATAAGCTGCATGTTTACTTTGTCAATGAGCTAACTTTCAAAGAAACGGTAATAGAAAAAGAAGCTATAAATTAAATGCACTTTATGGCAAAACTGGATTTCAAAATTAAAGCCATTGATCTATTTTTAGGAACTCAAGGAACTTTTTGTTGTTGTCGTTGTTGCTCTAACGTCTAAACATGAAGCAAAAATCTCAATAGTCTATCATTTATTGTTTGTTCCATATCAATATAAAATTTTCATTATCAAAATTTCATTAAGAATCTTCCAAGGAACTTAAGCCTGATGATTTTTTAATTGTCAGCTGGTTTTAGCAAACGAAAATACCTTTAAAAAAGTCTCCAAGTTGAGTTTTAGAGATAAAGTAAGATTTTTCTCGATTGGTACATGGATCGTCGAATTTAAATCATGCTTATGTTATTTTTTTAAATAAAAGAAGTATATTTAACATATTCTCTTCAAGTTGTTGAGATTTGAACATCTTGTACACAATCTTGGTGTATTTCCCCAAATTAATACATGTATTCTCAACACGGTGACGAAATAAATGATCGTGCAGGATATCACATCATAAAAGTAGATAGTCAAATTAAATTATCATTGCAATATCAGTTTTCAATCTAGGTTCTGAGTTACTTGTATACATGTAATTAGAACAAAACCAGATCCATGTGATGTCGAACGATATATTTAATCGTTCATGATCATTATCTATACATGAATACTAATGAAATGCAAATTATAGTTAAAGCAGCAGCATTTTACAGAAGGCAAAAGTTGGATAGAAACAATTTATGAATTAAAATTTTACTCTAAATGAGGGTATGCCCTTGTGATATTTAAATTTGTTTATGACCTCCATGTAGGACATATTATATGCATTTATCACGTGACTGTCAAATCAGGTGACCAAGCTAAATTCACCACAACGTGAGATTTCACTTAGCTGCAATAATGTAGCCGTCTCCAATTTTTTTTTTTTTTTTTTTTTTTTTTTTTTTGAGGGCTACAACTCCTTAGGATCTCCGTAATGGTGCAAGTGCGGGAATGATTCACTACCGCACAGATTTCGGCTCAAATTATCAGTAAGTGGGTATCAGTAAGTGGGTATTTTATTAACATATCTTACCTAAACTCATAAAATGTAGTTATGCAAGACATGATCAAAAAATATACAGAACAATCCGTGTATCTGTTATTTTTCGTGTATGTCAACATCACAACTTGAATTTATCCGCCATGTCTACTTACCTTGATAGATTTTATTTTGGGACAACCAGTGAGAATTCGGGATCTCGGGGAGCGGTTCTGTTTAGGATTTCCCTTATTACATGTATAAGCATGAATATCACTGTTTATGTAAAAGCAAAATCCCATGGAATGCTTTTTTTAATCGATGTTTAGTGATATCATACAACACAAACATTTATCAACACCGACATTATTTTACTTTATCAAGTGATTCTAAATTTCAAACGCGAGTCTCAGTACATCACAGGAGAACTGTCATGGCTGCTGAGGAGAACGTTTGCAAAACACGCAGATTTATTTTACTTGGTTTTCGCGTATAAAGGGCTATGATGTTGATAGTGAATAAAAATTCCGTCTTTTTGGAAGTAAGTTGATTGCAAAAACAAAAAAAAAGCCTTATATCAACTTAATTGTAATCCATCGGCGTAAACCATTGTTTAAAGAGACGTAGGTGCTATTGTGTCGATAAAGCATTGAGTGTATTTTTTTCGCCTGATATACATGAACATAGTTTTAGACAGCAGTACAAGGTGCGCAATCATTATTTAATTAACTCCTCAATATCATCAAAATGCTTTATGTACATGCAAACGTCAAAGCGTTTGTACGGTATTTGAAGCAACTATTAATCATCTAAAACAACTTAAATATCAAATGTGAGCATGGACCAGTGTCTTTGGAATACAATCTTTCAATTTCAGCCTTTTAAAGTAAAAAAGGAAGCTGTACGGTTTTTCCGATGATCAAGTAAACATTATGCAGTAAACCGACGAAAACCACATGTCGCTATTGAATCGTAAACACGTAGTAAACCGTCATGCTTTGCGACTCATTCATTTGGTTGGTGAATGGGTTTGACGATAACATCGTCACGTGCTGAAAAGTGCCTTCCATAAAAGGTAGTGTACCCGACCTGATAGAGGAATCATAAATACATGCTTTAAAAAATTTCAAATGTAAATGCTCAATCACATCAAGATTTTCATAGCTCCATACGTCATAGCCTATTAATAAGACTCGTAATACAACTTTAACAAATTTAAAAAGACAAGCAAAATGTAGGGGAAAAAAATCACGCATAAACCAATTTATACAGACATTTCAAAGATGTCTGAAAGATAGCAGATAATGAGTTCAAGATATTCTATTAGTTCAGGTAACTGGCAGTGAGGAATGGACGATCACAAGTTACCTCGTCATCGTTGCTTCTTCGACGATACGGCAGATTTATTTTAACAAGATAATCTAATAATCTAAGTAAAATAATGACCACACACATTTAGTAACGTAATGTACTTAACTGTGTAAAATGTCTAGGTTGCCTTTCATTTTTTTTTCTCGGTTGAGCAATAACGTGATTTCCTCTTAATAGTTAATGCAATAAAATTAATTTTAGCTAATGAAAATGGGTATTTTGAGAGAATTTTCTAACATAATATTCCTCAAGCGTAAAATTCAATTGAAAAATCTTTATAAATACAGAGTCCAGTGTAGTTCACCTCCTGAAAAAAAATAATCAGCGTTTTTAAACTTGCTAAGAATGACGGTTTTATCTGTTATGTATTTATTTCTCTGTATTGGTGGGACTTTTGCAAAGAAAGTTCTACCAGAAAAAGACGCCTCTGGAGAACATACATTATTGTCTAGTACTACTGAAGGAAAACTCTCCGGCGTTTTACGAAACATTCTTAACCAAGAAAGTTTAGTTCGCTTCTCAATGGCACAGAAATTTCAGAAATTGGTTTTGGACGTCCTAGATAATCAACACAATAGTAAAAGTTTGCTAAGGAAAGTTGGCAACATAGCTAAAGAGTTACAGGCTCTGGAGACAAGGGACCAGATACTGGAGGAGGAGAATTTTAAACTCAAACAAGAATTAAAGGTTATGTACGATAATCAGAGTCACATAACGGAACAATTTCAAAGGCTCGATGAATTTGACATACGCCTAAAAATGGTTGAAGAAAAGATGATTAACCTCTCGGCTCAACAAACGGCAGGTAAATGAAAATTTTATTAAGTAATTGTCTACAAATATGTCATAATTTTTAATATATACATTTGTGGTATCTCTCTATTTAAAGAGAGCAAAGATCGTCATACCGGTATGAAGTTTTTCGAAGGTCATTACGTGATCTAATCACACAGCGCAGTAATATCTACAGTATATAAAAAGACACCCTGCTTAGCAATATAGCATGCTTTTCATGTAAAAAAAAAAGCACACAAGTAAAATAATAATAATTTTATTTGCAATGTAAACGAGTATTTAATACAGTTCTTGACCGATTTTACATAGAGAATAGAAAACTACTTGTTATAAGTTTCATGTCTGAGCTCCATAGTCTCAACGTTTACCCTTATTTTTCCTGTAGACCTCTGAATGCTATTTTTTCTTTCATTGAACCTTACAATAAATTTGAAAATCATGAAAATTGACAGATAAAACTAATTAAATCAATATAATCAAACTTACATGTAAATGATTGCGTACACGACCATGTGTATGGAATACAACACTGAGAGCTCAAAACCTTAATCCAAATGTTCTCTCTTTGATTAGTCCATTTTTTCTTGCACTTAATTACATGTTAAAACTACCTAATAAACAAGGGATTTAAAATGTGAAATGTTTTATACCAACTATGCAGTAGGTCTAGATAATATCAACAGATGGTTAATGTACTGTCTATTTTTTTTTTCAAAATGAAATGCTTCTAACATTATGAAAGAATATGAACAGACACAGTACTTGATTATGTAAACAGAAATAAATTTGTTAGTACGCTTTGTCTATATAAATCTTCTGCACGATGATACGATGGCGCAATAATGATGACTCAATGGCGCAAAGATGCGATTACGATAGTGCAATTGTAAGAAAGGGTGACAGTGCTATGATACGATGGTCAAAAATGACACAATAGTACGATGATGTTGAAGCGATGATCGTTATCGCACCATTGTGCTATCGCATTATCGGGTCTTTGTCACTGCGCTATTGCGTCATTGTGTCCTCGACCCGAAAGTTCATGTGTTATGGTGCGAGATGAATATAAGTGACCCTCTCCGGAACCTATAGTATACGTTAGGGCTTTCATATCTTTAAACTCTATATATACTAGAATGCTATTGTTATAAACTTTTCTTTCAGACACAGGGAAGAGAGTGTATTTTTCAGCTGGAATTACGAAAGAAATAAGGAACTCCGCCGTCTGGAATGGCAACGACGTGATTATATTCTATGACGTAATTTCGAACGAAGGAGGGGCCTATAATGCTTCGACGGGAGTATTCACAGCCCCGGTGGACGGAGTTTATGTGTTCAGCTGCTTCATATTGACTGATAGAACGACTTTTTATGCATATTTAGAAGTCAACGGTTCCAGAAAAATCAACGTTCTTGGCAATACAGGTCCCAGTAGGTACGATATATTAGAAAGCGCTGGGAACCTTGACATTTTGCACTTACAGCAGGGTGACAGGGTCTTAATGAGACGTTCGAGTGGAAGTAACATAAGGTCTGTCCATGATGCGCCATCCACAACCTTTTCTGGTTTTCTATTGTATTAAAGAATACCACTGGTTTATCTGCAAATATATTTCCAAAATTTTAAAAAGAGCAGACTATATAAATTGATGAAATAGTTTGATATTAATGCATTTTAATTAAAATGTTTTATTGTTTACACCATCCTCACAACGTCAATGGTCCCGAGTCAATTCATTGTCGTTGGACACCTGACAAATTTCATTTCAATCTATATGTATTTCAAATATAAATTGAATAAAAAATATCATTTAAATTGAGCCTGATTACATAATTTAATATGTCGAATTGTGGAGTTCTACACTTTTTAATGAAAAGAAATAAATAATAATAACAGAAGACAAGTAGCCTTTAGTCCTCATAAAAGAGTAAAAAAAAGTAGACTGCACAGAACCTCACATAGGAGCTATAGGGATATAATTTTGAGTTGATACTCGAATAATTGATAGCAAACTAAGTATGAAGTGGTATATAAACTTTTTTTAATACATGGGTATTGTATATGAAATGAAGAGGTGGTGTATTTTTGACAAGCTAATATTGAGAATTTGTGTCCCTACCCCCTTAGGGGAAAAAAAGAAGAGCATCCGCAGTTCGGGGGGGATCACACTGCCCCCCCCCCCCGTATTTGTAGAATTATTAAATGTATACATGTATATTGAAGCAAATTTTAAAAAAGCCAATATGGTTATAAAGATTTGATTGCTTATTCTTTAATATGTGTATAGAAGATTCTTCTTAATATACTATGTACAGAATATTTATCACACACTGTAATATTGATTTTATGAGTTTGTACACGCCAGACATCATAACTTTTTTTTCATTTCACATGTTGAATAGAATCATTTAGTAAATTCCAAAAAAAAAAAAAATAAATAAATAAATAAAAAAAAAAAAAAAAAGATTCGTCCGGGGATTGAACCCGGACCTCTCGCTGATTGAGCGAGCAACATACCACTACACCACGGAGGCACTTGATTAAACAGCAAATTAAATGTAAACATTAACGTAGGTCGCGGGTTTGCAGGCCATTTAAAAGTGTCCGAAAACATACCATGAAAATTAGTTATGTGAGTCCTCTACCTTCATTTTATATTCTCTGAAAATTTTATAAAATTCGTCTGCATTGTTTTCGTGTAATTTAATCCCAAACACGCCATTGTTGTTGTGACATTTTCGGCGTTATTCTATTGAATTATATAAGAAAAACGTCGTTTTCGGCTCGTTTTGAGGCAAGATTTTGTTTCAAAAAATATCAGTAACTTTTAAATGGTGCAGACGAAATTTTTTCCCCTTTGGTATTTTAACAAAGAATTGATTTGAAATAAATCAATGTGAAAAAATTAATATGTCTTCGAGTTAGTTTTCGCGTAATTTAAATGTGGATAATTGCTTTTATATCGCAAAATGTAACATTTTTAAGAACGACGTCATAAAATATCGCGACGTCATGCTTGACGTCGTGAATATCTATCCGGTTTTCAGTGCAGAAAAATAAGATTAAATAATTTTTATAAAAAAGAAATTCACTTCTATCTGCTTTCAAGTGACCCGTGAATCGTATCATAATAATTCAAAATCAATGAAATGATTACTAGACATGTTTCTCTTCAGATTAGGGTTTTTGTACGTCTTATATTAGTGAAAATTCTCGCAAAGGACGTAAAACAACAATCAAATGAATCAATCCTTTAGTTTCTTCCAATTTACTTTCTTTATGTGTTGTTTTCTTACCATTTCTTTTCTGATTGTTTTGTTTTGCTTTTTTTCCCGTAGATTAGACGTATCCTTACATTTGGTTACATGTATTTTTCTTTTCCAGCTTGCTGGCGAAAAACGATATCCTCTAATTCAAGTAATTCAAGTATATAAAATGTTTTTATTTAGACCATTCAGCGAGGCGCTCAAATCAACAAATTTCTGCCAAATATCGCCCCGGCTAAATACAATATATTTTCAGTATTATATATTTAAACAAAATATTTATTTTTACATACCACATTTTCAGAGGGGTAAATGGGGTAAATGGGACGAAAATTTAAAAATTGATTTTATCTGACGTAATCAACAGTCAGTTTTTTTCAGAACATTAACTCTACTTGTTGGACATGGAAAGCAAAGTAGCAAATAAAATCTGTAGGTAACACCATTGCTGTTGCTTAGGGGACGATCATTTCATTCGGGGGAGGGGGGCTTACAGATTTTGGAAATAATAATCTGTCAGCGACTGGGCAAGAAAAATGAATAAACTGTCCATGGCTAGTTCTAGCACCCCCCCCCCCCTCCAGGGAAGTTTTCAACTTTGATGTTTTCCTTTTTTTTTTGTTGCTTGTCAGACTTTTTTCACTGAAGAAGAAACAGATAATCTGTCCTTGTTTTTTTTAAACTAAATAATCTGTCCTTCACCGACATGAAAATAAACAATCTGTCTCGGTAGAATTTGCCACCCCCTCTCCTTCAGAATCAAATCCTAACAGGAGGTCAGTGTCGCTAACAAATTGTCTTATGTTTCATCGTACCTTAGCAGTATTTAATTCATGATAAACTTGTAGATCTATATATTTTGAAAATATCCTTTTTAAAAATAAAGTTAATCTTTTGATGTAACAGGTGTATTTTCGATTTTTTTTAAAATAATGGCTTCTTTATTAATAAATCAAACTGTTGATTCAAATACGATCAAAGGAAAAAAAGCAGTTGAACCTTGTGTCCATATCGTTTCGCGATACCAAGTGAAAACAAATCAATCGCAATTTCTCGGGCCTTTCCGACAAGCCGAAAAACAACCACTTGTTTTTACAAGCTTGCAGGAAAGGCCCGAGAAGATTCGATTGATAACAAATATAATTAAACTTTTTACAATACTTCCAGTGTCGATCATTTGAATCGTAATAAGCCCTCTTCACTAAATTACCAATTCCAACAAAAGTTATATCCAAGTATTGTATCGACTATACAAATCGTAAAAAGCCTTCATTATTTGTGATAAGTTGTTGCTTAAATAATATAACACTAAACTACCAATTCCAAGAAAAGTTATAGCTAAATAATGATAATTTAATTTTGTTTGTATTCTAGCCTCTGATTGGTTAATATCCAAAAAGGAACACAAATTATTTCTGTATAACCTGGTTTGGTATGGGGACACACCCCCCTGACAACCAGCTGAATCGTCTGTATCCATGCAATCCTCTCATTTCCAGTCCTCGGGATTCATGGAAAATTCCAGATTTAATAAATGTACCTTTAACTTCAAACAGTAACTTGGATCTTACCACATGTAAACAAAACAACATGGCTGCTAGGACTATGTATCAGTTTTTACCTCCCCTCGCTTCCCATCACTTCCGTTACTAGGGTTGTATTATTGAGCGGCAAATTTGAACTAATAAAAAGCAACGAAATTTTACACCCACAGTTGTTTAATGATTTTAGAGTTAAATTATAAGGAATGACTCTAATTCTTGGCCAAATTATTCGAGTATAACCTGGTTTGGGTCAGTTTACGCTGTTTTATAATCCGCTTCGCGGATTATAAAGCGTAAACTGACCCAAACCAGGTTATACTCGAATAATTTGGCCAAGAATTAGAGTCATTCCTAAAATATACTGAAGAATTTAATAAAACAAAAATCATCGCAGATTTCTTTTTCATTGTGACGTCATAATCAAATGTGCACAAGAAAGTCGCCCAAATCATATAAATTGCGTACCCAATTTTAACGACGTCAGCAAACCCGCGACCTACGTTAAGTCACGCATAATGTTTAAATTCACGTTTGATATTGTCAAAGTTTTACACAATAAATGTTGTCTAAATTAGCCTTTACTAAACAGTTCTAATAGATGTAATTAGACTATAAAGTCCGCCGACAACCTGTATTAAACGTAATAACTCTCGAAATGCCCCTGTGCTAAAAATAGTGGCAAGCAACTTTTAATAAAATAAATAAATTTAAAAAAAAAAATAAAGGGCGGGACACTTTGAGAGGGGCAAGAGAGGCCGAAGGGAGTTATTGTATAAAATTTCATTGTAAAAGCTCAAAGGTGCTTGAGATATCGCCCGGAAACGAAAGTGTTACACACAGACGGAATTTATGAATTTACGACCTTGAACTTTGACCTTTTGACCTCAAAATCAATAGGGGTCTTCCTTAGGCCACAGGGAGTTGTTATGTAAAATTTCATAGCAAAAGCTCAAAGAATTTACGAGATATCGCGCGGAAACGAAAGTGTTAAAACAGACAGAATTTATGAATTTATGACCTTGACCTTTGACCTTTTGACCTCAAAATAAATAGAGTTTCTTCTTTAGACCATAGGGAGTTGCTATGCAAAATTTCATTTCATATCGCGCGGAAACGAAAGTGTTACAGACAGACAGAAATACAGCTAGACGGACGGACGGACGGACAGACAGACCTAAATTAATATCCCCCACTTTCAGTGAAAGCGGAGGACAATAAATTGCCATGGTGTTAAGTTGATAAGAGTGCTCCGTGGTTAAAAAAAACAAACAAAAATACATGTTGATTTTAAAATTATATTATAACACGACGAAGAGCAACATTTTTCGATGACTCTCGTTAATGCATTAAACTTTTAAATGAAAATATGCATGCACTTAAAGATTAACATGTAAAACTTTTGTAAATTAATGCACATTATGTATCGCCTGTTAATCAGGACAGACATATAAGGATCACTTAAAAGGTGCTCGTTAGTTGTAAGAACTTGAATGAATTTAGGGTATTTCATCAAATACTGATATTTTCATTTCCAGACCTCCTTCTTTTCCTGAAAAGCAAAACTGCAATTCGTCATACTAACATACCTGAACAGTAAGGATTCAAAACAGACTGCGCATTGCGTTAGCTGAAAGAAGTTTCAAACAAAAGATGTGGGTTTTTTTAAATAAAATTTCCGAAGTAAGAAAACATACAGAAAGTCTTTACTTAAAGCGTGATTTAAAATTATCCATACTTATTATTTCCCGGGCATGATAAAATGACCTGGAGGA